TCTCTGAGGCAAGAAAATCTGCCAATAAGCGCAGGACCCACCAAGATAGAGGAGGAACTTTGTCACAATACATTGTAAATAAAGTTGAATAAAACTCTGCATTTGATTTACTTACCTTTTTTTAAACTTAATCCTGCCTTAGCAGGGGAGGGATTAATCATTCTGAAGATGAACATCTTTCTGACCTATGTTGGAAATATCTGAAGGAGGGTAAAAGGTAATTTAGCCTACTAGCTTAAAAAAAAAGTCTACCTGGGATGAGAGTCCATGCTATACTAAAGCTATTGCGACAGGAAGACTAGAGGAATCAAAAGGCCTCTTGATCCACAGTATAAAGTCTAGGATGATTGCATGACTAACCATGGCTTCAACTACTGAGAAGCAGATCTTCTAGAGCAGGGGTTCTTAAACTTCATTGCATCGTGACCCTCTTCTGACAACAAACTACTACACAACCCCAAGAGGGGGATTGAAGCCTGAGTCTGCCCAAGCCCCTCTGCCCTGGGCGGGGGGGCCAAAGCCCCAAGGGCTTCAACCCCAGGCAAGGACCTGTAACCTGAGCCCCACTGCCCAGGACTGAAGCCCTCAGGCTTGGGCTTCAGGCTTGGGCTTCAGCCCTGGGCGGTGGGGCTTGGGTTTCAGCTTTGGCCCCAGGCCCCAGCAAGTCTAAGCCAGCCGTGGGGACCGCATTAAAATGGGGTTTTGATCCACTTAGGGGTCCCAACCCAGAGTTTGAGAACTGCTGTTCTAGAGAATGAATCAATGGGCTGTACCTTAGGCTGGCTGTCAGAATCTTCTCAATTCTTTCTGATTCCTGTTCCTCAACTGAAGGAACTGAGTTATCAAAGGTTCAAGATGGTTTTGAACGCAGCACAACATGCGGAAAAGGAAAAATTGCATCTGACAATTAACAAAAATGCTAAATCTTTCTGAGTGAGGAGACAAAACAACTTGTACCCAAAATAATGGGGGAGATGATACAAAGCAAAAATCTCAACAGTTAGAGCATGTTAGTAAACAATCTTCAATCCACTTCACAAAACCTCAGAATTACTATATAGAAGAAGCACTAATTAATGTCTGTTAAATTAAAACTCCATCAGTCTTGAGTGAATACTTTTTTAAAGG